GTCCAGATAATTTCTTTCTATTTTTAGTAGAGACGGGGTCTCGGTCTTGCTCAGGCTGGTCTCGAACTCCTGACCTTGAGCGATCCACCCACCTCGGCCTCCCAGAGTGCTAGGATTACAGGCGTGAGCCACCGCGCCCGGCCTCAAACCTTTACTTTTTACAATGCTATAAAATCATCAGAAGGGTTTCTATTAAGTCAGAAAATTTTGTGGTTGAAAGATCACTATCATAAACCAAAATAAAACAGTGCAAAAGTTTCATTCTTTTATTTACTGGACTGGTGACAGCTGCTGAACACTTGATCAATTTAGCTTTTTTTCATTCTCTCCTGAGTCACTACGATGGCAAATTACTCTTTTTAAAGCCTGACAGCAAGTATCATTGACAGGACTTCATTTGTCAACTGACTGTCTTCACATTTTATTTTTGATTCTTACTGAAGGACATAATAGGAAGAAGACACCATGTCTCTTCTACACTATTTCTTAGCTAGCTTAATTTAAGATTAGACTCTTATTTTAAATGCATTGAAAGACTTAGTCCCTGAGTTCTAATCTATTTAATCTTCATAATTTGATAAGGAAGTTAACTTACATTATACAATTCCTATAATAATTACGTCATTTTAATACTACCTCAAAACTCGCAGAATGTTAGCATACGAAGGGACCTATACGTCATTTTGTTGAAACTCTATCACAATTTACAAATGAGAAAACTAAGACTAAGAAAGTAAAATGAATTGCTTACAGCACACAACTAAACCTGACCTGAAACCCAGTGTTTTATTTCATTTTATTTTATTTTATTTTATTTTATTTTTGAGACAGAGTCTCACTTTGTCACCCCAGATAGAGTGCAGTGGGGTCATCATAGCTCACTGCAACCTCAAACTCTTGGGCTCAAGTGATCCTCCAGCCTCAGCCTCCCAAGTAACGGGGGGTACAGGTACGTGCCACCACAGCCAGCTAATTTTTCTATTTTTTGTAGAGACCAGGTCTCACCAAGCTGGTCTCGAACTCCTGACCTCAAGTGATCCTCCAGCCTCGGCCTCTAAAAGTGTTAGGATTACAGGTGTGAGCCACACATTTTTTTTTTTTGGAGACAGAGTCTTGCTCTGTCCCTGAGCTAGAGTGCAGTGGTGTCAGTATAGCTCATTGCAACCTCAGACTCCTGGGCTCAGGAGATTCTCCTGTCTCAGGCTCTGAGGTAGCTGGGATTACACACGACACACCCGGATAATTTTTCTATTTTTAGCAAAGACAGGTCTAGTTTTTGCTCAGGCAGGTCTGGAACTCCTAGCCTCAAGAAATCCTCCCACCTTGGTCTCCCAAAGAGCTAGGATTATAGGCATGAGC